CCCACAGCCCCACCCCCGGCGATGGCGGAGAGCTGTGCCCGGGCCGCTGCAGGCAGGGGAGTGTGGACGCCGTTCACACCGGCTTTGCATGGGGTTCCGAGTCCCCCTCTGCAGGTGCCTGCCTGGGTGACCCAAGGTAGCGTCTCAGCGTATCCGAGCGTCCGTGTTCTCGGGTGCAGAGCAGGAATAGTGACCACGGCCCCGGATTCTGCGGAAGGGATGATGAGATGAAATGTGCTGCCCTGGCCGGTGTGGTTCAGTGGATAGAGCGGCGGACTGAAGGGTTCTGGGTTCCATCCCGGTCAGGGGCACGTGCCTGGGTTGCAGGCTCGATCCCCAGTGCGGTTCTTGCAGGAGGCAGCCGGTCCATGATTCTCTCTCATCATGGATGTTTCTCTCTCTCTCTCCCTTCCTCTCTGAAATCAATAAAAATATATTAGAAAAAAAAAAGATAAAACATGCAAAGCTTTTAATGAGGTGCATGGCGAGTACTCGAGTACTGCGGGCTCCATAGGCGTTAGATGTGCGTTGTGACTGAAAAGGCTCCCAAGTCTCGGCACCTGGGCCGGGGAGTAGTCATTCCTGGGGTTTGGGGTCTTGCACGTTGCTCTCTACAAACAGGTTATACTCGCCCATCTTACATTTGAGGGAGGATTAGACTCAGCACAGAAGACCTGTAACCACTTTGGTTTGTTTGATCAAATGTGCGCAGGGATGAGATTTATAGAGTGTAGTGTGAACCACATTGTCTAATATTTGGGCGTCTGAATCAGGGCTCTGTCTCATTCTTATTCTGTCCACATCCTAGGGCCGCAGGTTTTCTTCAGACAAACAAGTAAGAAACAGAGGCGTAGATGTGTTTAGAAGTTGAAGCCACGTTGGTGAATATATATATTTTTTGAGCATGAAGAAAGACCTGTATTTTTTCACTTTAGGACACCATCAATTGTATGATCCAATTTCATAGACACCAAACTGTGAAGAATCTTTTTAACAAAACGTAATATCCCCAACCACGTGCATCACATAACTTTTAAATGAGTTCCCTCATTACAAGTTGAGCAGCTCCTCAGCTCCTAACCCAGTGGTTCTCAACCTTGGCTGCACATTAGAGTCACCTGGGAATCTTTTTAAAATCCTGATTTCTTTGTTATGGGGTGAGGCCACAACATTAGTAACAAACAGAATTTCCGGAGGATGAGGACCAGAAATCAGGATTTAAAAAAAGATTTCCAGGGTGATTCTAATGTGCAGCCAAGGTTTAGAACCACTGTCCTAACCTGTGGTATTGTCAACATAAGAAACAGTCAAACCTGTAGAGAGTTTGTGAGTTATGTGAGCCAAAACGATGACAATTGCCGGGAAGCAAAATCTCAACGGATCGAGAAAATGCTCCTGAAAAATGGCAGTTTGCACCCTATTTGATACATTACGATCAAAAGAGGAGGCATAAGTGGGATACATGAAGTCCCCTGGTGACAGGTTAGGGAGGCGGGAGAGAGCAAAGCAGGGTTAGGGGATCTCTGGGATCGGATAAAGAGTAAAACTTATTTTACCGAGGTGGGTACAGGATAGTTAACAGTCAGCGATGAACACACTTAGAGTAAGAACAAGGAGCTTTGTAGTCTCTGCTCTGGCTCGGCTCCTGTGCTTTGAGGGGTCTGGAGGAAGGAGTTGACTTTGACATTCCAAAGGTCTGTTATCGTAGACACAAAAAGACTGTAGACAGGCTCCATTAAGGTAAAGATGGACTTTTTTTCAGGGAAGGTTCTAGCCTAGGACATGACTACCCGCCGTAAACTGCTTTTAGTTGAAAAGTTTTCATTTCAGACCCTCCGGTGTGGTTAGTGTAGGCTTCTGCGTTTGTAAGGCCGCCACGCAGGCCTCCTCTGAGCTCGTCAGGGTGAGTCTGTGGCCCCTTTTCGTCCACAGTATTTTAAACCAGTGCAGCTCCAAGTGTGGTCTGCTGGCCTGCAGCTCCCTCGGAGAACTTGCTAGAAATGCAGGACATGGGGATGGGGCCCAGAGTCCACATGTTAATAAGCCCCAGAGGTCCCTCCGCACGTTCATGTCCGAGAAGCACCTTTGAAGCCGGCCCTTGGGGTTTCTGTGATGGACGTGATGCGTGGGCAGGGTGAGAGCTTCCATGACAGCTTCGCAGCTGTGCCATCTGTAGCCCCGCTTCCTGTCCCTGAATGAGCATTGCTCTGTTCAGAGTAGAAAACGCCTCGGGCCTTTCGCCCAGCAGGAATCATTTCGTGTCCGTTTTCCCGCCCCCAGGTGTAATCTACCACACCCTCTCCCAGAAAGAGGCCAAGGAGCTGGATGTCCAGGTAGGTGCTTGGCAGGGGGTCTGGGAGCGACGGGGGATGACACAGATGCTCGGTGGCCTCAGAGCCTTTCCGAGTCCCACTCCTCGTCTCCCCAGTCCACGGGGCTCCAGCAGGGCCTGTTGTCCTGATGACTCTCCCACATGCGGGTCTCCTTTCCCGTTGTGTCATCTCCCATCGTGTGGGGACACCGGGCTGTGTCCACCTGAAACCTGCCCAGGTGGACGCTGTCATTTGACCTGGTCACTGGCTCCCCTGCACCCCCAACAGGCAGAGAGACCACATTTGTGAGATTTATGGATCCTTCTGTGATCTGCCCATTTGGCAGAAGCTCCCTCATGAGGAGGGAGATACCGGAAATCAAGATTTTGAGACCGATAGGCCTTTATTTGGCGTCTCCATGGAGGGCCACTTAGGTGTTCAAGACAGTCCAGTCATTGTCAGTCCCCTCTCTGAGCGACTTGGAGAGTGTGCGTGTCACATCTTCTCCAGGGACACGTCAGCCCGAGTGTTTACAGCCGCTTGGTACAGCGAGGGTCCAGGAAGTGGCCTGCCAGAGGCAGGACTTCGGGAGGCAGTGCCACCTGGCCTGGGGCGGGGTGGGGGGCCGCGGCTGCAGTTTCAGGGCAGTGATGCTCGGAGGCCCCTCCAGAATTGCACACTGTGACGGCTGCTCTGCCCCCTGAAACCTGTGCTCAGTCAGGGTCACATGAGGCTCTGCTGTGTGTCCAGAGAGTGAGCAGGAGGCGGGAGGGGGCGGTGCTGAGATGCCTGACAGTTCCTCCCCCAAGTGATGCGCCCACAGCCGGAAACCCACGTAAGAGGACTGCGACACCCACCGTGAGCCGATCCAACTCCTGGGCTGGCTGTGCCGCCTCCTGGGGTTAGAGGCCTCTCCTTCAGGCCAGAGCTTGGCTCCGCCCCAGCTGGCCTCCAGTCCCCACTGATTGAATGCCGCCCCTCTTCCTCCCACCAAAGACCAGGGAATCTTTTCCTCCACATACAGAGGTGTGATCTCATCACCAGGGTGGCCTCAGGGACAGGGTGGGCCCTGGAGTCTGGCCTGGCTGTCTCGTGTGACGGCCACGGACAGGCGTCAGGATGTGGCTTTCGCACCTGGACAGCGGTGGGTGGGGGACAGGCAGCACTCGGAGGCGGTGTGAGCCTCTGTGGGGGAGGCAGCCTGCCTGCGAGGACCCGGGGTGACTGTGCCTCGCAGAGCAGTGAGCCCCCCCCCCTCTTGCTGTCCCCCCAGCGCCCGGGAGCCCAGCGCGCTGAGGCCTTCCTGCAGGCCTTCCTGCGGCGCTGCACGCCCCACATGAGCCAGAGCGCCCGCGAGGACCAGCTGCAGCGCAAGGCCGTGGTGCTGGAGTACTTCACCCGCCGGAGGGGCAAGGAGCAGAGGAGGCGGGCCAGGGGCCTGTCCGCGCGGCAGAGGAGGGCGCTGCGGCTCTTCGACATTAAGCCGGAGCAGCAGAGGTACCGGCCTTCCTGCCTGCCTTCCTGGCCAGTGGAGCCTCCCGCTTCTGCCGCCAGGGGGCAGCCTTCCTTCACCCACCGGGACTGGGTTTGGGTTTGGCTTTGGCTTTTAATAGGGAGGCTGGTGAGTGGCTGGCTTCTGTCCCAACCCTAATAGGACCTGCCTCTAGTGCGTCTGTTGCCCATGGCAACAGGCTGGCTGTCCTCCAGCTCTTTCAGAAAAGAGCAACTGAGACTTCTTCATACGCATCTCCTTAAGCTTCTACTAGCACAGGCAGAGTCACCCACGGGGTTACTGCCCGGGAGCGTGCTGCCCGCGTGTTGGGAAGCCTCGGCAGGGACATGGCACTCCTCGTGGGAGGGGCTCCCTCCTGCCACGCGGCCCTCCTTGGCTCGGCTCTGGGTGTGGGTGCCTGGGGACTGTTTGTAGACTTTCGCTTCCAGACCTGTAGCCAGCAGCCTCCCACACCCACTGGACAGTCTGTCACCCTGTCCATGGCCTCCCGAGAAACCAGCTGGGTTTGGGGCCGGGGGGGTCTGCCCCAGGGGGCCTCGTGCTGTCCCCACCGCTACGGCCCCCTTCAGGTTTGAGCCGAGTCTCTCCATCCTCTAACCCACAGTTGGGGTCCTCTCCTCCGCGCCCTCCCCTGCCCGGCAGACCTGTCACCGTCCCCGGGTCCTGCGTGACACCAGCAGCTCGGGTTGAACACGGGCTCACCTAGCTCAGCGTCCTGACGGCAGGGCCTCAGAGTGCAGGCGTCAGCAGCCTGGAGTGGGTTTCTTCCGGGAGGAGAAGTCCAAGTGCGCGTGTGCTGGGCTCCGTGCAGGCGGGTCCACGGCCCTCAGGCCCAGGCAGCGTGGCCCAGTGTGTCCGGCTGCTCCGGCAGCTCTAGACATTGCCCCGTGGTCTCGGGCAGCTGCCTGCGCTCCAGGTGTCACAGCTGTGTCCAGTGGCAGGGAGGGGAGGGGCCAGGAAGGCGCCCCTTCCTCGTCTCACTAGCAGGAATGTGTCCTTGGAGGGCCCACCGGTGAGGAGACAGGGTCTCGGGGTGGAAGCAGGCGAATGGAGATGGTGGCCCCAGGCGTCCTTGGCGGGAAGCCGAGTGCTGTGCTTTGGACGGTGTCATCAAGCTCACGGGGCTCGCTTCCACCCTCTGACTTCCCACAGATACGACCTCTTTCTCCCCCTGCACGAGCTCTGGAAACAGTACATCCGGGACCTGTGCAATGGCCTCAGGCCAGACACGTGAGTTGAGTTTCTGAAGTCTTGCCCTTTGGGGGAACCCATGCCTCGCGGGCCCTGACCCTGACCCTGACCCTGACCCTAATGGCTGTGGATGCGGCCTGGGAGCCCGCTTCCCGAGCAAAGACGGTGAGGCTTCCATCTGCCCTGCAGGCAGCCCCAGGCGATCCAGGCCAAGCTGTTGAAGGCAGATCTCCATGGCGCCATTGTTTCAGGTGAGGGCCTGAGAGCACGTGGCACGCGGGCGGCACTGCGGGGTCAGGGTGTGAGAGTGCTCCTGCCGGGGACGTCCCCAGGTCGGCACTGGGCTGAGAGACATCACCATGGTCGGCAAACTGCGGCTCGCGAACCACATGTGGCTCTTTGGCCCCTTGAATGTGGCTCTTCCACAAAATAACACGTGCGGGCGCGCGTACAGTGCGATTGAAACTTCGTGGCCCATGCGCAGAAGTCGGTTTTCGGCCTGGGTGAGTCTATTTTGAAGAAGTACTGTTGATATTTGGCTCTGTTGACTAATGAGTTTGCCGACCACTGTACTAGAAAGGTACGCGCTGTCCCCGCGGGCGCTGAGCTACACCTGCCCCTGGCTCAGCCAGCACCTCCCTGAGGAGCAGCTGGACGCTGACGGGCAGGAGGCAGGGCAGCACCTGCCCCTGGGGGCGCGGGAGCTGCGCCCTTGGCGGTGAACCTGTGGGTCCAGGAGGCCTGCGAGCCCCCCTCCAGCTCCCCCTCTAGCCACGGTGCAGGCGTGAGCTGCGCACGGGCACAGGAAGTTCAAACCACACGTGGGGGTTTGGTTCCCTTAATTTTTTTTTTTATAAATGTTACTTTTCTTTGAAAAATATTTTTTTAATTGATTTCAGAAAGGAAGGGAGAGAGAGAAAGAAATATCACTGATGGAGAATCACGGATCGCCTGCCTCCTGCACGCCCCGCACTGGGAATGGAGCCCGCCAACTGGTCATGTGCCCTGACCGGGAATCGAACTCTGAAACTCCTGGTTCAGGGGTCGACACTTAACCACTGAGCCATGCCGGCTGGCGGTTCCTTTAATGTTTGAGCTGGCTTTTCCCGCCGCTGCGCTGCCTCCTAAACGCCCCGCACTGGGGATGGAGCCCGCCAACTGGTTACGTGCCCTGACCGGGAATCGAACCCTGATCTCCTGGTTCATGGGTTGACACCTAACCACTGAGCCACGCCGGCCGGTAGTTCCTTTAATGTTTGAGCTGGCTTTTCCCGCCGCTGCCACCCGTCTCCCTGCAGGTCTTACGCTCTGGTTTTCACCTTGGAGCGTGGTCAGTCCCCCACCCCATCCCCACCCCCGCTGAGTGCAGAGCCTCGAGCCACCTGAAAGCTGTTTGTGGGGGACCTGGGCTGGCGCTGCCCTGGGAGGTCCTGGTGCTGAGAGGAGGGCTCTGACCTTGAGCCCTGACCGTGGGGGCTGAGCTCTGTTCAGGACGTGAGTGACCTGGCCTGTGCAGGGGGACCCCGCCAGCCCGGTCTCCTGGTAGCTCATTTCTAGAACCTCGTGGGCAGGGCTGCAGCAGGCGGGCTTGACCTGAAAGCTGTTTGTGGGGGACCTGGGCTGGCACTGCCCTGGGAGGTCCTGGTGCTGAGAGGGGGGCTCTGACCTTGAGCCCTGACCGTGGGGGCTGAGCTCTGTTTAGGATGTGAGTAACCTGGCTGTGCAGGGGGACCCCGCCAGCCTGATTTCCTGGTAGCTCATTTCTAGAACCTCGTGGGCAGAACTGCAGCAGGCGGGCTTGTGCCGGCTCCCCACGCGGTCTCTCCTGCTCCTCCGCAGTGATACCCAAGCTGGGCTGTGTGTTCTCCGTGGAAACCGACGGCTTCGTTTCCTACATTCACGGGAGCAAATTCCAGCTCCGGTCGAGCGAGCGGTCCGCCAAGAAGTTCAAAGCGAAGGGAACCATGGACCTGTGAGCTCTGCGGCCCACGGGGTCACGGCCGAGAGGAACACCGGCCCGAGCCCAGCTCCTGGGAGACGGCAGGCACTTCCGGGGAGACCACCCCGGTCGGTAGGACACCTGGGAAGAAACGCCTGGTGTCGGGGAGCAGGTGCACAGTTCCGGGGGCCTGCGTGTTCCTCCCTCCCGAGGAGAGAGGGGCAGGAGACACTGAGCGGCACTGGGGGCTCATGGACGTGGGGGCTCCGCCGCCGGTCCTGCGTCTGCTGCTCTGTGACGCGAGCTGTCTGTGATCATAAAAGCATTTGGGCCTTGGCTCCAGTTTCCAGTCTCGTGCGGTGCAGCAGGTGGGGGGGTGGGGGAGGGTGGGGCCTGGGCAGGGCCGCC